AATATCACCAAGTGTCATCTGCTATTTCTCCACACCTGACCAGGATCAATTATCTAGATTCATCAGCAGTGAAAGAGCTCTCATCAGATGACCTGACCTACCCATAATCTAGACCACATTTTGGCAGACTTATGTCCATTGGGCCAGATCTGGCCTGTGGAACCACTGAATGCAGCCTGCAGAGGGGGGGCTCAGCTGCACTGCAGCTGGGCGTTTCATCCCTGCCACGCTACGGCTGGACAGCAGCGAGAAGTGGCAGCGGTGGTCGGGTTGTAGTGTCAGCCTGTTACCATCCCCTGATCTAGGTTATAAAATCCTAGAAGCAGGTACCTGCCTTTCTGTTTTTGAGACATACCCAACTGCAGTCCTATGACTCTCAATAATAATGTGTTGAAGAACAAGACATGGCTTATATTGGAGAGAGAAATAAAAGGCACAAGGAAGGTATATTTTCAATCTATAGCAATTCAGATGTAGAAACTGAATGAAACTGCTTGTGTTAATTACAAGCAATAAAGGTGGTGCTCCTGAATAAGCTGAAGAATGCCATCACACCACATGTAAGAGAAATGATTTCAACAAAGCTGGATGTTTACCAGGGCTGCTGGAAGCAGAATAAAATAAGACTGATGGCTCAAGGAGATGGAAATTCACTTAATGATGTGATGGGATCTGAGCCACCGTCCCAACAATCGTGCCTCCTACCATGCTACACGTGTATGGCAAGAAGTGGAGCTGGGATCAGGGATCCAATCCCAATCGTGCCACTGCTAGCAGGGAGCCTGGGGTATGGGTTTGCAAGTGCTGGCGATGGAGAAGTCAATCAAATTCCACACCCCGACAGCTGTAAACCCATTGGTTCCTCCCTTGCTCCCCCACCGCTGCCTTTCTTCAGTCCCAGGAACCCCATGTGCTTGGACCCTGAAAAACCGTGCATGCGATTAACAGCACCTTAAATGTAATGTGTGCCAGGGGGCATGTTGACATATGTACACCATGTGATCTTTCACATCCATCATATTTCTCATGTCCACTCAAACACATTTCACAGTAGTAAACAAAGCACTTCAGTCCCGAGCTCCAAACAGCCTAAGACAGCACAATTCATTAAGAAGAAACAGCAAAACAGATAAGCAGGTGCTCTCTCAAATTGCAGCCTAAAACAATTCCTTTTAAATGTTGATTTGCCTGTTTCTTTCTTCAATTATCAAGCAAAATGGAAGCTTATAATTGTTGAATGATGTTTTGCAAACACTCTAAGATTCAGATACATGCCTTTGATTATCATTAGTGGAAACGCTATCTAAATCCCAGGTATTGGAAATCAAAAACATTCACAATTTGTTCTAAGATGATAGTTTGCTCAGAACTGTACAAGAAAAGAGAAGAAAAAACCTACAAGGATTGTAAAGCAGAGGCCAAATTCATCATCAATACCCTAGGAAAGTAATGTAAAAAATGTTTTATATATATATCTTAAGGAGCTAGACAGCATCTTCAGCAACCTGGGAGAGATGAGAAGTGTGGCACATGCATACTCCCAAGTAATAACATAATTATGCTCTTATAGGGCACATGTATTATTGTTTGAACAAAAATAGAGAGGCTGACCTAAGTTTACAGGACACATTGAAAGATACCTGAAAATACATATACTTCACACACACAACCCTGAAAAGCATGCAGTGTACTTCAGGCAAGTATAAAAGAGTGATATATGGGATGAACATGTCAAATGCACAAAGGCTCTGGGATATGGTCTACAAAGACGGTGACAAATGAAGACCTCAGGAAAAATGGGAAGTTCAAATGAAAGGTAGAAGGTGGGAAGTTGTTCCAGAAGCATGGTAGATTATGAAGAATTAAAAAAAGCCAAAGACTTCAGAGAGGAAATAGTGAACAATAAGAAGACGCTAAGGATGATGTGGAGAACTGCTGTGAAGGCAAATGAAATGTAAGCAGAGCCATTGGTAAGGAAGAGAGTTGTGAAGAACTATGCCGGAAGGGATTCTCGTACACGTGAACCCTTTAGTTTGAAAGTCACGACTGATGGAACGGGTCAACCGTGCCCTCAAGCACGGTGGTCAATGGAGAAATGAATAGCGTGCAGGAATAGAGTACTGTAATGAAGTGGTTTGGTTTGAAATGATTTCCCTTAGACGGAATGACTAGTCATCACCTGATTAGAATGCAACATATGTTCCATTAGACAGAGCTAAGAAACGTCTGTACACTCAGCTGCATTTGGGATAATGGGCCGCTTATTTGCCACAGGCACCGTGTGTTCTTTTCCTCTTACTTCTAGTGGCAATTAACCTCCCTGTTATTAAGGATACAGATCTAAAAGTGGAAGACAAACACACTCGTTTGCAATACACAGCGCTGAGGAAACAAGATCCTTCTGCACGGACTGATTTCATCAAACGTGCCTTAGTGATGCACAACAAGGGAACCGGCGAGGAAGCAAACCAACCCTTCAGCCTAAATCCTTGCTCTGGGAGCAAAAGCAGAGGGCAGGTCCTCTGCCAAAGAGAAACTTAACTGGCATCATTAATACTACAATACTCTTGGAAGAGCCAATTAAATACACATGGGCAATGCAAAGCTACAACCAAAGCAAAAGGAGTTCCAAACTAATGCAACCTTTCAGATTTTACTCAACGACTGTAGCACTTTGCTTTGAATTTTTAAAGATCAAGATATCTGACTGAGGTGGGAAATGGCGGGGCGGGGGGCACAGACAGCTGGGATTTTTTATCAAGTAGCAAACAAGATGTTTTAAGTTTGGGTATAAGAGGGACAGCACTTGGGAAGTTATATGGAATCTAATCTATTGGAAAGATCGTGATGGAGAGGAAATACGGAGACACATAAAGACAGCAACTTTCCTCACGGAGGCGGCTAGCTATACATTGTTTGCATTTGGAGACGTTCTGAATTTTAGGCATGCTTGCAGACTGCAGCGCTTATCTCCTGTGCTCTGGTATATCCCAATGGGATACATGGCAGACTTCAGTTTGCTGTATAGGACAGCACCAAATGGTGTTTGCATGACCACCTTCTGCTTGATTGATCTAAGGCCTCTCCACCTCCAGATGACATAGGCAGAACAAAGACAAATATACACCTCCTTTCATGTTCAGAAGACCTTTTCCTGCCTTGGCTGCTGGTTGGCATCAGAGGTCCAATTTGTCCTTCATCTGCAATTGTATTTCCCATGCTCACCCTGGCTACACAGAGGCAGTTTCTACACTGATAGCTCAAACCACCAGCATTATGGAGAGCTATTTATTATTCATTTACATTTTCATACCACATTGTTTTATTGGCGACAGGATCCTACATTTACAAGGTCAGATCTTGTGTTAGGGAATGTACACACACAGGCAAAGGTTACTGTAGGCTAAATTAGGAAACCATGCATTAGCTCAGAATTTGTCATAACTTGTAGATGGCCAGACAAGCTCTACAGTTGATTCCATTTCTTAACAAACTTAGGCACAGGTCCAGAAGCAGTAAGATGATCACATGAGCTATGAAGCATGATGCACAGAAAGGAAGGGCTGGGCAAAGATTTAAGGAAACCCTCTACATACCAACAGAACCTTCCCAAAGGTCTACATGATCACACAGGGACTTTGGACACATGGTGATGCTCCTACCCCAAGTTTAGGTTTAACAGACCTTTTGGTAGCTTCATGAAGGAGACTAAAGAGAGATGGGCATCACCTCATAAGAGCCGGAGCTTCAAAGCTCATAAACCCTTTCAGGAGTTACAGCCTATTGATGTTTAGTAGGGCTGCGCAAAGCTTCAGACCGATTCGATTCGGCGGAGATTCGGCACGATTTGGTGGCCGAAACTCCTAATCCAAATTGAATAAGAGGACCCTTTAGTCTCTGCGAATCGAATCAGAATGCTCTGAATCGATTCGGACATAGACGCAGCTTTAAATGTTTTTTCTACATACCTCAAGGCACCAGGCGGCTTGTGAATGCTGCAATGCTGGGGAGGATAGAGCATCCCACAGAAGCACGGTGGGGGGGGGGCCCACTTCCTGGTCTGCTGGGGGGGGGCCGCCCCCCCCCCCCCAGGTCAGTGACTGGTGCCTCCTGATTTTGGGGAGAGGGAGGCACCCGGGGTCCCCCTGTGGCTGATTGCTGAGCTGTAGAGGCGTGGGGGGGCCCCCCCAGAGCACTCCCCGGCAGATCCGGAAGTGGACCAGAAGTACTTCCAGTCCACTTCTGGGATCACCTCTGAGCACATGGAGGGCCCCCTGCATCCTGTGGGATGCTCCATGTGCCCCAGCATCGCCGTGATCATGAGCTGCACCTGCTACCTCAAGGTATGCAGAAAAATGTTTTAAAGTTGTGTCTATGTCCTAACTGCTGATCTCCAAATCGGCATCGAGCCTTCAGATTCAGATTCAGCCAAATCGAATCAGGGACTGTGATCCAAATCAACAAACTGAATCACTGTCCCTTATTCGGGCCAAATCCAAATCGAATAGGGCCCACTTCGCACACCCCTAATGTTTAGCTGATTACTGCACCGTTGCAGCATCCTTGCTTAGCTTGACACATTGGGTACAGAAGAAGAAATGTCTTTCTGTCTGTCTTTGCATTTCCTTTTTAACTGGGCAGCATCTCCTCTTTGGGGAAAATAGCTCCTGGAGTAAAGGAACCTATTAATACCCTAATATAAGATGGGGTTTTACCTCTTGCAACCCAGACTCAGTCGACTAAAATAGGAAATACCTTGGAGGATTAGGGCCTCAGCAACACACCTGCATATCCGAGTTTTATCCTGTCCTTTCTTGTTCAGAGCACTTTAGTTTAGTCCCATTGACACAAGTACGGACACCAGAACAAGGCCCTTCCTCATTCCCTTTCCCTAAGGAAGGTTTCCAGTACAGAATTTATTTCCATAACAACCTACTACTGAACAGACCTTGAGTGCATAGCAAATAAAGGGCTGCGGGAAGGTGGGTGGAAGCAGATAAACTCTTAAGAGGCTTCACACAAGGGAAGGATGGAGAGAAATTTGAAAACAGCTTTCATGTTTTCACAAAGCCAGAAAGCTCCTAACGAAAAGAAATAAAAACCTAACTTGTTAAAGCAGTTTTTATTTAAGTATTTGGAGGGAAACTCATATCATAAGTAAAAATGCTAAAGTTGAATGGTTGTAAAAAAAAAAATGATGGTGGTGGGTGTTCTGTGGTTGAACACAGTAGTTTGCTATGGGAAGGGGAAGTGAGGGTACTTGTAATATACTCCCTTTCAAATTAAAAAAAAAAAAAAAGCTAATTAACTGCAGTACATTTCGTCATTTTTATACAGTCAAGAGAACAAAAACAAAAAGCAATCTAAGCGAATGCAACCTACAATGGAATAAATTCACTTGCAGTAAAGACAGAATAAGACTGCTTTTATGAAAATTACAAAGAAACATGATACAACAAAATAGGGTGTGGAGTATTGTCCACTAAGATTAAAAACAAAAACCAAAAAAAACAAAAAAAAAATCACTTTTTGGACATCATATTACTCAAACACATACGACGTTTCAATCTAGTTTTTCCTTATACATGGGAAACACTGTTGAAGTGATTCTTCACGAGTAAGAAAGCACCGCCGACTGTTGCCCAATACCGTTAATGCACACCGAAGAAAGAGGAAATGATCTAGCATGATGCAAACTTCATTAAGTGTTTATATAGCTTTTCTTTAAGAAAAAAAAAGTGGCAACAAGTCATTACTTCAGTGTCAAAATGTACTCATGTTTGGTTGACTTGCTCATTGAGGTGGATTTCTCATGTAGACCTATGCAGCTTTTTATATGCTATGTAAAGTGGGGTGACTTTGCAGTGTAGCATTCCAGATGAGATTGGAAATCAGCCTGTTTTCTAAATCTTGAGAAGCCAATCCTAGCAAATAGTTCTAATTCTAAGCAAATGTAATAATTAAATGCACTGTCTTGAGTGGAATACTGATCCGTGTAAAGTAGAGATGGACTAGATTCCACTGAACTTGTTTTGATATGTAATGTCTTGTAGCAGATGTTATAACAAAATAACTCTTGATTTACCTCACTGAGGCCATTAATGCTGTTCCTATAACTGGTTTTCTGGAGTAGGATGACACTTCTTTGCTGTCCAAAGTGAGTTTGAACCCTTAACTCTCCAGAGTTTGTTCACTTTGTTGCTTATATTATTGCACTAGCTACTAAAGTCTTATATCTTCCTAAATAAATCTAATTGTTCAGAGTGCAGATTCTATATTTAGATAATGAAATGAATGAAATAAATAAAGGGGGTTTTCTGGTCAGAGCTGCTGATATGTTTAATATCTTAATAACTTCTAAAGTAAACGGTTTTGGTGCATATTCTTAAAAACCTATGGTCATTCAGCACAAAGGCTTTGACTTAACACTAAGAGTGGATTTTTTTTCCTTCTCAAAAATGCAACGAAGAATTGTTTTAAATACAGAATCTGTAAGGCATCCTACAAATTCATCTAAATTGTAGTACAAACATAGTTTGTAATTCAGGTAATATAGAAAGTTCTCTAGTGTCCATTGAAGTAAGGTCCCCAAAAGGCAGTCTGTTTTGTTTCTGAATGGAAAACATTGCAAAACATTAAGCGGTTCCACTGGCTGAATAGGAGAATTGAGGAAAATGAGGTCTTCTCTCATTATCGACACAATCCATACTGTCATCTGCAAGCAGACAAACACCATTTTACATTATGCTGAATAATAATTTGTACGTTTTAATTTTAAAGCAAATGCAAATGACTTCTATAGTTCTTTCAACAAATGCAGCGTGGAAAAACCATAGCTAAAACTATCAAAAGAAAAGCAACCTTCAAGACCTGCCTTGAATCTCTATATCAAACAATAGTCATAGAAGAATGGGTTTTCTTTTGCTTTTTGTTTTTTTAAATCTCCCTTGCACAATATGCAGAGGTGTAACGGTGGTGATCTCCATTTAACATTACAGGCATAACATTGGTATTTAGTGTTATGAAGTGAATACACAGTTACCATGTACCTAGAACATATTTAAGCACACCAGCCCTGATGTAGTAACTGCTTACATATGCAGTGTACAGAACGTGGGTACACACAACTCCAATTCCTGAGCAGAGTCGTTTCCCAATGGGAAATGACAATTCAGCAAAATAAAACACAGATTTCAAAAGAGTTGTTCTCAGTAAAAGCTATTTTACTGTTTTCATTCATTCCATTTGAAATGAAATGTTGATTTCAAATTTTTATTTCATTTTCATTCCAAAATAACTGTTTCAAAACTTGTACACTGCCAGGTATATGAAGTATTTAAAACAATGTCAGAATTAGAATGAAATATTGATTCTACCAAAAACAAAACATTTTAATTTATCCAAGGCCAAACTGGAAAAGAAAGAACAGTGCTAGTTAAAGTAGTGGGGTTTTGTAGGGATGACTGAGAAAGCTGGGATAGTTTCTACAGCTCACCAAGCACTCAGTAGAACAACAACCCTCAGTTACTCTGGCTGCTGACAGAAATTACAGTACGGGTGCAATGAGATCTGATGTAGGATCCCAGCAATGACTCTTCCTGCTGTGCCATCATATCCCATCACACCAGTGCAAGGGTGCATGATTGCACCGGCATGTAGCAAGCGTGGCTCCCTGCGCTCCGCTGGCTGAGAACCCCAATCGGCTGACTGGAGCTCCCAGTTGGGAGAGCACAAGGTAACCTTTGGATCTGATGCGTTCCCCCGGCTGGGAATGCCCATCACCTTACTATGGCTCCCAGCTGGGAGCACACCATGCAATCCCTCACCTGGGAGCCCCAATCAGCTGCTTGCGTACTCCCGGTCAGAGAAGTACATGGGAGCCAAGTGGCTTGGGTGTTCCCCTTGCTGGGAGCCCCTGATCAGCTGACCTCTGCTCCCAGACTCTGCAACACACAGGACTTCTGAAGGGCTCTGGTGTGCTCCAGAGGCTGGGAGCACTGGCCACACATTCAATCAAAGGTGTGATAGGAATCAGACACAAAGTTATTTCACAGCTTTTGTATAACTTTGTGGGTCATTCTTTGTTTCATCATCCCACTAACTGAATGAATGTGTGGCCGCGTCACTACTTAAGACGTGATTAACTATCAATCACGTCTTAAGTGTAACATCTATCAGGGGGCCTATTATCTAGGGATGAGCCTTGAGGGAAAAATTCAGATGCACATTTCTAAACATCTGGAGACTAGATACAGGATTTTGGTTTGCACCCATCTTTGCTGTTAGCCCTAATCTATACAGGCAACACGAAGTGAAAAACCCTTGAGGTCAATAACCCCCAATCAGGCACAAATCACAAAATATAGTTATGTACCAGGAAAAAAAAATCCCAGATGTCTATGAATGAACATTTCCTTGGTATTTTGTAAAAAAACTACTGAAAACTGTTTTGAGATTATTCAGGGGAAGATGGTGCTAGTTTTGTTCAGGATACTTTACCTTGGTCAGGTGGAGTGATTGTAATCATCTGTGCTGTAAATTCTTCATCAAAGTATCTTGTATCTGTTTCAGATGTCACTTGTGGCTTAAATGGAGGTACAAGCTGCAAAGCAAAAGACAAACTAAGTTTAAGTGTTCCTGAAATATAGTGTTAACAGGCAGGCTTTGAAGTGCAACTGGGACTGACAGTGATTTTTGCTGTAAAACAGGCAAAACAGCTCACTGGGAAGAAATGGGCCAATGTGTACACAGTATTTAAATGTGCATTTGCTCTTTATGGGTTGCTCTTTATGGGTTGTTTTCCCTTCCATCTTGCTTGCAGCAAGGCAAGAGATCTGGACTTCTGATGCTATTTCAAGCAACACAAAAAGAACAGATACCTCATTAAAATCATTACAGGTTGGTCTCTTTTTAAAATGATGTACACATTTGTAGGCCTCCTCTACTCTGCTTTAGATCTGGAAAGGGAGAGAAGTTGAAAACCTGTCTCGTGCCCCCCAAATTGTTTAGAGCTGGGCATAGTGACATCACACTTCCTTCCTATTGCATGGAAACCAGACAGTAAGCACATAGGGAGCCCTGTGGGTTTACAGAAAGCAGGCATGGGCAGCATCTTCCTCTAGCAAAAACAACAATTGGCACAGTCAGTGTCTTCTCTGTGCTGCGAAATTTTTGGGTGTGGGCAAGAGGGACAGAAATCAGCCACACGTAAGCATGATCTCCGGATGGAGCAGAGACGCTTGAATGGGGCGTGGGAGGAGGCAGGCTGGGGTGAAAGAGAAAGGAGCTGTTCTTTCAGAAGAGCATTTGGAGTCCAACATCCTTGGGAGACAAGTTTTGGTCACTCTCCCACTACATGACACTGTAGCAACTGAATGTAAACAGAGCAGAAGATTTTTTGCCATCCTAAAAAGCACAAACAGCTCTAGATGTTCATCCTCAGTTCTCCTACCTCCGGTGGTACACACAGCCATCTTTTAATAGTACACAAACTGTGCAACGAACAGTTTAGGAGCTGGCTGGAGGAAGTATGCTGCACCCAGTGAAATCACAGGGGAAACATTTATCTAGGCAAAATGGTAAATCACTCCACCAGGAATTCAGCAGACATGGAGGTTTATACTACTAACCCTTATGCAAATAAAAAGAAGTTCTACTAAAAGTTTCTATTTGAAATCTGTCAGCAGAACCTGACTTTAAAACCCCATCCACCCTCTGCTTCATCCTAAAAGCCAGAGCTACTTGCTCAGGAGAAAGACACTGGGTTCATCCAACTAGCTTAGGAACCATCTTTTTATTTTGAGTTTGTAGAGCACAGCTCCGAGGCCCTACTATAAGATAAGAAACAGAAGAACTGGAAGATTCCTTTATTCAGATTAATTTAAATCTAAAGGGTTAAAAGCATGACCCACCAGTAGAGGACCCACATACAGGGAGGCTGCAAAGAAGTACATTTCCATTTCCAGAATGAATACCTTCCCTAAAACTGCCAGCAGAGTAGATTTTGAAATGCTCTTTCAAAGCCAATAGTTCTGAGGGTCCAGGAATG